TAAATTATGTCTCCACTAGACAAATTATGTATTTTCTTTCTTTGCAGCCAGTAAACCTATAAATAGCTTAAGTGATACTAAGAACCTCAACAAATTGTGAAAGACTGTAATAGAATATGTTTACATTTAGTTTTCATTTTGTCTCTAATTTAGCCTCTGGTATGACTTCACCTCCTGGCTTGTTCTAAGGCCAGAGGCCTCTGTGGCCCTGGAGAGTGACTGGTCCATGTACAGATTGAACATTAGCAACATTCCACACATCTTTTAGGTATTAGTTGAAAAAATAAAAAAATTAAAAGAATGGATTTTAATTGGTCTGGGCTCTTAGCTATTTGAGAAGAGAAAGAAGGAATTCAACACACGTTAAGTCAATATTATATTGGAGACTTTTATATGAGTGGGCATAGAAAAACCACCAGAACAATGATAGAAAAAATATGTTCCAAAAGACATTTGACCTAATATCAAGACTAGAATGCTTAACAATATACAAGGAGGCCCAGGGAACAAGGAATTTTTTTAAGTACTTGTTTCAAACTGAGAGGGAACAAAATCGATTTCTGCTAAAATATGAGGTAAGTATCTTAGATACTCTAGTATTTTATTTCTAATATGGTTTTGAAAAGCAATGTTCAATAAAGAGGAAAAAGAGAGTTGAACTAGGGGAAACTTGGGTTTTATTTCAACTTTCCCATTGAGTCACTATGTGATCAGGGGAAATTCACACAACTTCCTTTGAATAATTTGTTCATAGGTCCTCAAAATTCTAATTTTTAGAGGGAGAGAAGGGTAAAAGCCTTCTTTAAAAAGTACATACTTTTTTGTAAGTAATCTAGTTAAAATCAAGATAATTCACCTAAATCTGACCTAGCTGCCTTCCTTTCTGTTTCCTTTGCCCCCTCTCAGCATCCTTCCAACCCCGTAAACTGCCTGGGTCCTTCAAGCCAAGTCAGGAGGAAAGTGGGTCTGACCATCACGAACATCTTAGTATGAATTTTTAAAAAACATTTGCATTTGCATTTCCAGAGGCCACTTGATTAAGGGTCCTACGTAGTGCACCTTGTTTTGTGAAGTTCTAGTGATTACTTTTGAAACATGGTGGAGAGCCTTTGAAATGACACTGCTGTGGTGATCTCTTCTGTCAACCTGACAGTCAATACTTAAATGTACACATCCAACCTGTGACAGCCACGTCTACCACCTTGCCATTTTTATGCAGTGGGTCCCTAAGACTGATGCATTCAGATTATTGTGCCTTGAATCTTACCCCCAAATAATGAACATTTAGTTTTCATTTGTTATGTTCAGCTTTTCACAATAAAGCACATATTCTACAGATATGAAGCTATATTTTATTTTCATAAACTAAAGACTTTAGTGGAGAAATACTCATAAATATTTTTTGGAAGTGTTGAATTCCTTTCTTTTTAAAGTGACAGATTTATTATACATGGTCATATATTCATTGAGTCTCTGGAAGGATTTAAATAAGATACTGTCTGTATCCAACTTGGCAATAGGCCAGCATACCCTTCCCTCATTATCAAAATGTTATAATAGGAAGTACCTTACCACTGTCTTAAATGAGTTTTCCAATCATCTGTTGTGGTTGCCCTGCATATGTGGTGGAGAATTTAAAGTTAATTTCACTTATTACAGTCATTCAGAGTCATTTTATAAAAGTTTGAATTTTGCGTTTTGTTTTGCAAGATTGTTTTTAGTTTATTTTCTCACAGACATGCTATTTTTCTCATGTGGAAGTATTTTAGAGACACCGAGGTCAGTGAATCTTAAATGCACAGTGCAATGACTTTTTACATATGCATTTATACATCTGTGTAACTACCACTCACGTCAAAATATAGAATATTTCCAGAACCCCAGAAGACTTCTGTATCTGTTCCCAGTTAATACCCTACAAAGGTAACCAGTACTAACATAGATTTGTTGTACAACCTTGAATGTTATATAAATGGGATTAGGCAGTATGCATTCTTTTGGGAATGCATTCCTACTTAATATTATATCTTTGAGATTTATCCAGGTTGTTGCATGTATCAGTCATTCATTCTTTTTTTTCCTGCCATCCAATTTTTCACTGTGTATACTACAATTTATTCATTTATTCTGTCAGTGAACATTTGTTTCCTGTTTTAGAGTATTTCGAATAATGCTACAACAAATATTCTCTTTTAAAAGGGTCATTCACACCATTTTCTTTGTATTCATTTCTCTTGCATCTTTGAATTTTCAAGTCATAGAGTTCATGTATGTATAACTTTAGTAAATGCTGCCAGTTTTCCAAAGTGATTTCCACAAGCAATACAGGAGGGCTCTTGTGGCACACCCTCAACACGGGCGCCACGGGTTCTTTAATGTGTAGTCATTTGCTATTTTACCCCATGGTGGTCTTACTTTGCATTTCTCCAACTACTAATGACGTTGAGTACCTTTTCATATGTGGGTTGGCAACCTGGATATTCGCTTTTGTGTAATGCTTAAGATTTTTTGTGCATTTTCAAAATAGGGTTTTCAGTCTTAATGATTTGTGATAGTTCCTTATATATTCTGCATATGGCACTTTATTGGATTTATGTACTGGAATAGTGTGTGGCTCCTAGCCTGTAGCTTGCCTTTTTATTCTTTTAATGTTGTCTTTGATGAACAAAAAATGTTAATTTTAAGGAAATCCAATTTATTAATCTCTTATAATTAGTGCTTTCTGTATCCCCTTAAGAAATCTTTGCTACCCTGAGGTCATGAAGATTTTGTTTTCTGCATTCCTCTGCTGTTTTATCTTGCCCATTTAGATCATCACAGTTAAGATCATCCCTAATTAATTTCTGTGCATGGAGTGAGATAAGGGTCAAGGTTCAGCATTTCTCCATGTGCAAATCGAATTGATCCAGAACCATCGAAAAGGCCATCCTTTTTCCACTGAATTGCAGTGGCCCGTTTGTGGTAAATAAGGAGACTTTGTATGCACGGGTCTGTTTTTGGACTCGACTCTTTTCCATTGATCCGTTTACCGATATGTGTACTAATAGTACATTACAAAAATTTCTGGTATCTAATTGTGTACGTTTTTCAGCTTGTTCTTTTTCAGTTTTGCTTTAGCTATTCTAGTGTTTTTGAAATTCCGTAAAATTTGAGAATCAGCTTGTCCATTACACACACATAACCTGTTGGGATTTTCACTGGTTTGGCACTGAATCTATAGAAATCAAATTGAGAGTTTCCATCTTAACATTATTGAGTCTTCCAACCTAAATCCATGGTTTATCCCTATAGTAATTTTAGGACTTTAATTTCTCTCCACGATGTTCTCTAGTGTTCAGGGCAGAGATCTGGATGAGGTGCTTGGCTTTTATAAAACACCTATGAATTCACATTCAAAGTTGGTAACGTCCACAACGCATGCACTTTCGCTATTGTTAAGTCCTTGCCATCATGTTAAGATCTGTACGATAGGAATTCCCAGTAACTAAGTCATCTCTCAAATTATTCAATGTTATAATTTTACTTATGGGTATGGCAACTTTTAAATCTGAAGAAATGATAGCACTATTTAGCCCCTGATTTAGCCTTCTGTTAAATGTATTAAGATGATTCCCTGCCACCACCCCAGGAAGTCTGTGATACGTTTGTTAAACAAGGGCAGAGGAGCTGAGCAGACGAACTGGAGAATGGGTAGTTTCTACTCTCCATCAGGTAGGAGGTCAGTTTGGTATTTAAGCAGTTTATCTCCCCTCTGTATTAAGAACGTGTAGGTCATTAAGCCCACACATGAGTATTAGACATGGAGAATTAAGGCTGTGGTTGTATGGTGCCAAGATCATGAATTGATCCCCGTTCATGATCTGGCCAGTTGTGCAGTTACCTTGGTATATTCCAAAAAGTGGCTGTACTGTTGTCTGAATCAACTATTACTTTCCGAGACTCTAACCTGAATTAGATTGACACATGCCCTGGGTATGAACAGTTAATGTGTGCCTGTACAGTGCCTCATACTACTGGGGTAGTATGAAATATGTAAATTCACTCTGAGTAAAGAGTGAATTTATCTTTTATTTTTTTGAATACCAGTCAGTGCCTTAGCACATAATCACACCTTCCAATGATTTTATCTCATTTTTTCATAGTGGGCCATTTTGGTACGGCAGAGGTCCTTGCATCTTTGTTTTCGAGTGTTACTGTACTAACTCCCATCTGCGCTGCTCCTTCAATCAGTTCAGGCTGTTCTAACAAGAAGACCATCAGCTCAGTGGCTTAAACAACAGATTTATTCCACACAGTGCTGAGGGCTCAGAAGTCTGGAATCAGGCTTCCAGCATGGCCAACTTCTGGTGAGGGGTCTCTTCCTGGTGTCCCTACATGGCAGAGAGAGAGAAACAGTTCCTGTCTCTCTGTCCCCTTATAAGGACACCTATCCCATCACAGGGCTCCACCCCTTTGACCTCCTCCGAAACTAATTACCTCCCCAAAGGCCCCATTTCAAAGTACCATCACAGTGAGGATAGAGAGCTCAATATATGAAATTTGGGGGGAATGTTCAGTCTATAGCAGCCCCTTTTGCTCTAAAGTTTAATATTACCTGACATCAATCCTGAATTAAAGTTGGGTTCATAGTAGTAATTCACTTATTTGAATATTAAAATAAACTTTATATATGAAAATTTAATGACATTAAAACTAGCTAACTTCCTAATGCCAAATATACAGCAACATTAAAATGTTAGATAATAATGACAATAATACTAATACAAGCATTTGATGTGCACCAGGTTCTAAGCATTTAACATACATAACTACATGTAATGCTCACCGCACACTGTGAGGTGGGTTAATACTCTTATCCTTATTTTACAGGAATTTTTTTAAGTGGTCTATTATTTCCTTTGAACTTAAATTTCTGATTGTGTTATGTGGTTCAAATTTATTTGAGAAAAAAAATCAGTGGAAAATGGAGTACAAATGTTCCATACTATTTTTTTTAATAGAAAAACAATGTCCTATACTGAGAACAGAGGGACATCAGTTTACACAGGACAACAGAGATGAGCTTGAAGTTTCAGGTAAGCATTATAATCCATTGCAAAGAAGCATTTTGTATAAAATCACTACTAAATATGCAATATATTGCATGTGATTGACATTGTAATTTAAGATGATAACATCAATATACGAAATTAAGAGCAAAGAAGATGCATGATGTAGAAAAAATGCTGAGAGCAGAGTTCAATGTTGTTTAAGCTAAGAGCAACAGCAACTCAACCTCTTGGAGAAAAATGTTATTTAAAATTTTAAAGGTTATAGCCATAGTAGAAATTTGGAAAAAAGAAAGAAAATTTATGAGAAAGATCTCCCTACCCAAATATAGTCATGATTCCATTTTGGTATAACATTCCTGTCTTTCTCTTTCTTCCCTTCATCCTCACCTGCTTTCCCTCTCAATCTGTCTCATGCACACACACATACAATCATAATACAGATAGAGCATCTGAACCCAAGCATTTCCCCACATCAACATATATTCTTCTAAAGCATGACTTTTTTTTTATTAAGGTATCATTGGTATACACTCTTATGAAGGTTTCACATGAAAAACATTGTGGTTACTACATTCACCCATATGGTCGATTCCCCCCCAAATTCCCCATTGCAGTCACTGTCCATCAGTGTAGTAAGATGCCACAGAGTCACTATTTGCCTTCTCTGTGCCACACTGTCTTCTCCATGATCCTCCCCACACCATGTGTGCCAATCATAATATCCCTCAATCCCCTTCTCCCTCCCTCCCCTCTCACCCTCCCCACACCTCCCCTTTGGTAACTGCTAGTCCCTTCTTGGGGTCTGTGAGTCTGCTGCTGTTTTGGTCCTTCAGTTATGGTTTGTTGTTATACTCCACAAATGAGGGAAATCATTTGGTACTTGTCTTTATCCCCCTGGCTTATTTCACTGAGCATAATAATACCCTCTAGCTCCATCCATGCTGTTGCAAATGGTAGGATTTGTTTGTTTCTTATGGCTGAATAGTATTTCATTGTGTATATGTACCACACCTTCTTTATCCATTCATCTACTGATGGACCCTTAGGTTGCTTCCATATCTTGGCTATTGTAAATAGTGCTGCACTACATATAGGGGAGCATATGTCCTTTTGAATCTGAGAACTTGTATTCTTTGGGTAAATTCCTAGGAGTGGAATTCCTGGGTCAAATGGTATTTCTATTTTTAGTTTTTTGAGGAACCTCCATACTGCTTTCCACAATGGTTGAACTAGCTTACATTCCCACCAGCAGTGTAGGAGGGTTCCCCTTTCTCCACATCCTCACCAGCATTTGTTCTTAGTCCTTTCAATGCTGGCCATCCTAACTGGTGTGAGGTGATATCTCATTGTGGTTTTAATTTGCATTTCCCTGATAATTAGCGATGTGGAGGATCTTTTCATGTGCCTGTTGGTCATCTGAATTTCTTCTTTGGAGAATTGTCTGTTCATATCCTCTGCTAAAGCATGACTTTTTTTAAAAGGGCTGCTTAGATGTCAATTGAATGGCTACAATATTATTTACTTAATCAATTTTCTGTTTTCAGACATCACAGCTATTACAGTGAGCTACTCTGATTATTTATTTAGGATAATTCCTAGGTCAAAGAAAATTAATATTTGAAACTTCCAAAACATAGTTCATCCACCTGTCTTCTAAAAGGAGAGAAATTAAATCAAGAAATTTGCCAATCCCAAAGAGCAGGATTTCATTTGAAATAAATCAATGTGTAGATAAGGATAAAAAAAAATCCTATTTAAAAATCAATATCTTTGTGATCTTGCTAAATTTAATAAAACTGCTCCTGGATTAAATCATCTGTCACATTTTACAGGCTTTGACCTAGGAGAGAGCTTTTCTCTGAAACGTGCATTTTGTGAAGGTGATAAACCCTGTTTCAAATTGGGAAGCACACTTCTTATTAGAGACACTATGTAAGTAATTTTTCTTTACCTTTTAATACTATGTAAACTACTTTCTAAAGAGGCTCCAAGTAATTTAAGATTTAAAAAAATCTCAGTGGTGTCATCATCACTTGAATGCTGTGGTAAATGGGCTCTGTGTGTATTTGTTGTCTTTAATAACCTTTGCAATCTGATCTTGTTTTATGGCGTATAGTCTTTCAAGGCATAAACTAAATAGAGGCATAATCTTTAAAGAAGAGCAACTAAATTCATTTTAGAGGAATAGTATTTATGTTTAAAAGAGACATAACCAAATTCAGATTTTAAAATGTGAACTTTAAAACAGAAGATGCAATGTAAACTTAGAGACAAAAGACTGCTACCATTGTGTTCTATATTTACTGTGCTTCACGATAAATTAAAATAAAGAACTTAGCCGTCAGGCATGCCTCTTACATATTGTGTAGAGTGCCTAGTAAATAAAAATCATTGCAGTTTTATTTTTTGGTCTTGATACTCATTTCATTTCAAAATTAGTTTACCCAAGTTTTGCTTTGTTATTTTTACTATTCTTTTTCTACTGATAAACCTGGGATTAAAAAAAGAATCACTTATAATTTAAATACTCCTAATTGGTCAGCAACTGTGCAGGGCAGTAATTCCCCCATATAGTTGGCTGCATGTAACGGGAGGATGGATAAATTGTAATCGAGAAAGCCTGAATCATACAGCATATATGGTCATGATACGTACTCTTTGAGCCCAAGAGGGCCATTCCAGTTCACGAATACAGTCACGGAAAAACATCGCGATTCTGTTTGGTTTAGAAAACAACACATGTTTTGGTGTGAAAACACGTATGAGTGTTTTCACTTCCTGGTGCGTAGTCTAATATTTAACTCACTAGACAGAGTTATTGAGACTCTCAGCATTTGATTTCTTAAGGGGAAATAGCATTGATCATCTTGATGCCTACCCTTGAGTACTCTGTATAATCTAGGTTCTGAGCTCACTTTTTCCTTGAGAAAAGTTTCTTTTAAACCTTCTATTTTGTGATACACTAGATACTTTTAGTTTAATGATATGGTTCCTTAAAAGTAAACTGCTCATTAATTACTAAGAAATAAGAGCATTAAGGAAGAAAGCAATTTGATATTGGGGGGATATAATGGGTTGCTGTCAGGGCACTTCAGCAGATGTAAGGCAGACCTGTGCTCCTGTGGGATGCTTGGAGGTGACTTCACGTGCAGTCTTTGACCCCTCACAGCACAGCAGCTCCACGTTTGGGTGTTTACATGCAGCAAAGAAAAGTCAGTAGGTACATGTCTTGCCAATGGGTTTCAGCCCCAGGCAAGTTAGCTATGGATTCAATGTGACCAAAGAAATTGACAGCAAAACCTTCTTTGGAGTGAAAGGGTTTATTACCCGGCTTGTTCTCCCGGCAGTAGGTCGAGCACTAGGGTCTCTGCCTCCGCCCAGAGCCCTGGGCCGAGCTCTTTGTATAGCACAATAACAGCTTATTGCCTGAAGGTGTGGAAGCGGTGGCCTAGCAACAGACCAGTTACATCATGAAGTGGTTTAAGTTCGGTGAGGATCCTGGCCATAGGAGCCCCAACTTCCCCACAGTACATATATATAGATATGTATCAATATGTAGTTATCAATCTATATTGTTTCAGATGTTTCTTGACTACTAGGCGGTTACTTTAATTAATGAATTTTAAAAAGGCAATAAATTCTGTTCCAGTAATTAAGATGCATTTCCTCTCCTGTATTCTTCCTGACAATTTAAACCCTTGTAATTCTGACCAGGTAGCTAAAGAATTGGAGTAAAAACTTTAAAAAAATGTATCGGACCTGTATGTAAGATTAAGATTTAGCTAATTTTAAGTAGTCACACTAAAAACCTTGCTGCCACGTTTAGGCAATGATATTCCTCTTTGAATATTTTTGATAAAAATATTAGGCATGATGAGACATTTAGATTCCAACCTTTGGCTCTAAATCACTGCACGATCCCTTGCCTGTCAGTGTAAGTGAACTCTCTGGCTCTGTGGAGCAGAACCCTGGTACCCCCACCGCAGGAGACTGGGGGGTATCTGGCTCAGCTGACTGGCCAGGGTCAAGCAGTCGGCTCGCCTCCACTGCATCTCACCCTCTGAGCCAGGTGTGCTAGGCTCCTTCTCTTGCACGATGCCATTTTGACTTTTCAATGGGACTGGACTAAAGTTGCAGCTATTTATATATCTGTAAATAAGCTGCCTTGCAGAATCAGCATGGGAAAAGGCAGATGCTATTTTATGTGGAAAATGAGGCTTATTTCTGTGCCTGAGAGTGTTTTTATAGTTCTGGCATCTTTCAGGTGAGATGCATGAGGGGAAAGATTTAATGAGTGTGTCGGTCAAATACCCATCAGGTGCCCTCAGTGCCCTGTGCCTGGCTTAGTGTGGGAATCCCAAAGGCTGTTCTTGCAGGGCCCCTTCCTATAAACATGAGCGGGCGCTTACAGGTGGCATGCATGCACGGGAATCTGCAGAGCCTTATATGTGTGCTCTTACTCTAAATCCATGTCCGTTTCTTCAGTATTCCTTGGGATAGCAGATGGTAAGTATTTGGAGGCTTTAAAAGATTTTGGGTGGCATGCTACTTAGTTTTCTAGAATTATCTTCTTAGAGGAAATTTCCTTGGCTTCTTGTATCTACAAGTATCCCCAGCTATGAAGAGAAATAATTCATTATTTCTATACATATTGAGAACTATATCCCAGATACTCTGATTATCTTTAAATTGTCATTTGGCAATTGTCAGGGCAAAATGGTGAAGTTGTGAGAGAAAATATACAGAAAACTTGTTTATGCAATGAACACCTTATTCTCCTGGTACAGATAATCCTTATCCTTCATTAGTTGCTTATATAGAAACATGTTTTAAATAAAAATGTCTTAACAATTGGATATTTTAAAAGAGTTGAAAAATACTGATTTTCCACACATTGTTGATTATGAAAGGGCAACACTCCTTTATTTCGACTGACCAGTGGGGAAATCAACCATTTCAAATGAGCAGGGAAATGAATTTTCTGATTTATTGAATTCAAGGATGGTAAAGAACCTTGTTTCTCAGGTTCTATGATTGATAGCTGGTGGCTGTTTGGAAAACTGTGTTGAGAAGGATTCTGAGGCCATATTGAGTTCAGCAGATAAGAGTAACCCATTAACAATAGGAGAGGAGAGAGGGATGGTCATGTGTGATTCATCTGTAGCTTCTCTGACTTAGGATTTCCTAGGAGTTGGTGAGTTTTGCAACTGAAACAGTTCCTGAGAAGAGGGGAAATGAAGCTATGTGTGAAAAGTTAGTCAACAAAAATTAACCTTAATAAGATTTTATGAGCTTGCATAGTGTTGCTAGACACAGTGGCGTAATTGACAGATACGGTCCCCCTTAGCTTTTTTTTACAAATAAATAAATCTCCAGTCAAGAGGAGTCTTTTCTCTCTGTCTCTTTCATTAAATTGGTGGTCGCTTTCTGGGAGCAAGCACTGTTTCGTTTCACAGCTTTACATAGGGAAAAAAGAGCTGGTAGGAGCTACTCTTACTTGTTTTTCATATTTTTGTAAACATAATAATCCTGAGCAAATAGGAAATCCCAAAGTATACATTTGGAAGATGGGTAGTGTTTTTTAGGTTCTCTGGACCTTAACAGTTCTCTTGGAAATAATCCTAAATAGGGGGAAAAGTATTATGTATATTGCAACAGAATCCATACCTTAGCTTTGCTACTGTTGAATGGCTACATGGGCATTTCTTTTCTGCATGGACCTTTATATTACATCCAGATTTTTATTATTAGAAATAACACCACAACATACAGGAAAGTTGTTTTTTTCTCTGTGTTTAGGGTTATTTCCATAAGATTGATTTTGTGAAATGGAATTATTAATTTTAGAGATCTTAATACATCTAATTATGTCCTATCTTTGCTTTATCCATCTATTATGCATATTACCCAAGATCTTCAGTACCACTATACATTATCATTTTTAAATTTTGTTGTTCAGTTCTGTTTTTTAAACTAACAATTTGCAGCAAGAACAAATAGAAGCTGTAGCTTACTGCATAGGTATTAGGGGTTCCTGAAATGGTTATGTTCTGATGAAGGGTGACTAAGAGGTAGGGTTCAGTCAGTCACTGAAATGCATGCAGTATAGTCTAGAGGTCGTGCTCTTATTCAACAAGCATTATTGAGCTTGGGATTGGGTACTTTATTGGACTGTGGGATCATACTGGTGAAAGAATGAGGGTTTATTTTAGTCTTGCCTGCCTAGAACCTGCTGGCAAGATACATGGTGTAAGGAAAGACTGTTCTCTTTTGCCTTCTTGAAGGAACTGAAATATATTGCCATCTGTTGTTCAAGCATAGGCTATAGGACTCAATCCCGCTCCTTCTCTCATAAAGGCTAAACTTCCTTTAGCATCACACTCAAGGCAGAAATTCAACCTTTTCCTCATAAGGGCTGGTTTTCTAACCATCTTTCATTTTTACTGCTGTCCTTTGGAACCTCTCCAAGTTCTTAAAACCAATTAATTATGAGGCTCAAAATTATGTTCAGAACTCTGATACTGAAGCTTCAAATCACTGAAGGTTTTGGGAGGATTACTTCACAATTCTATTAAACTTTAGAGAGTGACTGTTTACAAATCCCATGGATTTTCATGTGGGCATTCTGTCATTTTGTAGATAAGAAGTTTTCCATATGAAGAAAAGTGACTTAGTTAAAAAGAATCCACCTGTTGATATGACATTGAATGACTGTTGCATGCAATTCATATGTCATCACTGTATGTCCTTATGTACAGTTTGTCATGCCAAAATATGACATGAGTCATTAAGTCAGACATTCTTAAAATGAAAAGAAAAGCTTCATAGGTTCACAATTACTTAGTTCTTTAAAGCACGCAAGTTAGCCAAATGATGACATTAGATAGAACAGAATTCTAACAGTATCATTATACAGATTTTAAGAATGCATG